GAGGAGGAGGAGGAGGAGGGGGATGAGGAGGAGCAACAACTACCGTATTCGACGCGAACGGGCACCGAAGGGGGGGGGGGGGAACAGCTGCTCGTCCTGCTCTTCTCTTTCCGCTTGGGACAAAGGGGGCGGACTGCGGCCAATGCACCTTAATTCGACGGCAACACAATCCTGGGGGCGAGGCGCTATACATACTCTCTTCCTCGTCCCCCCTCTTCTCCTCCCTACTCTCCCTTTTTTACAATCAAACACATTCAATACTACTCTCCTCTTTCGCCTGATCCCGTCTGGAAGATACTGGGCCCTCTCCGCGTGTTGCTTGTTTGCGCACAGGATTTCAAACGTTGTGTTGCTCCTTGCGTTTCTTTGTAAAGCCGATTGTTGTTGGTGTGTCAAAATAGTGCTCCCGCTGCCGCGTGGGCCTCATTTTCGGATCGGCGCCTAGCCCCCGTCGTTCAGAATCGCGCTCTCGCCTTAGCACGGGCCACTTTTCAGAATCCGGGTCTTTCTTCATTGTTATCGCCCCTCTCGTTTTCCCTCCGCTTTCCCCTGCCATCCTCCGCCCATCCTCCTGCCCACCCGCCTCCTCCTCCCCCTCCTCTTCTGAGCGAAGCTTCCCTGTCTTTTTCCGATTGCCCACAGCACGGTCGGGTTGCAGGAGTTGCAGGAGGTGCCGTTTTTTAAGCCGATCGGCTGGAGTTGCAGGTCGGATTTGACACGCGTCCGCGGATAGAGGAACATCAGCGCAATGGGAAGGGAGGCCAGGGAGGGATAGGACGTCACATGAGCCGCGGGCACACCCAGCTTGTGTACGACTCTTTCTCATCCTCTTCCTCCTCCTCCCTCCCTCCTCCTCCATGCGGGCATTGTCCAGGGACTCTGATATACTCTTTCTACTCTTCTCCGCCTCCTCTTCCTCCTCCTCCTCCTCCTCCTCCTCCTCCCTCCCCATCCTCCACCTCCGCCTCCTCCTCTTCCTCCTCCTCCTCTTCCTCTTCCTCATGCTCCTCATCTTGTTGCTCTTCCACATCTACTCAGTCTGGGTTTATGTTTTACCAGAAACTCCGGTGTGGGGGCCTCCTGGGCCGAAGACCACCATGGGCATCTGAACAACACTGAGTTCTCCTCCCCCCCCAGGGGCCTCCCAGGGGCCTTCCCAGAGCATCCAAGAGTTTCCCGGGTCCACCCAGACGGTCACAGATGGCGTCTGGACGGCCCCCGATGGCATCAACACGTCCTCCAAGTTGCCCCAAGACGGCTCCAAGGGGCCCCCAAGAGTCTCAAGAAGATGCTATAGTCAAACGCACATTTCTAGCAAATTCGTTGGTTTTGATGCTCACAACGTCCAAGACGATACAAGAGGCCCCCAAGAAAGCCCCCAGACGGTCCAAGATGTTCCCAAGGCGGCCCCAAAAAGGCCCCAAGACGGCCCAACAGGCACCCAGAACCCTCCAAGACGGCCCCAAGAGTGGCCTCAGGGGGGGAATTCGAATCCACATTTCCAGGTCTCCGCCCCAAGAGGACCCTGAAGACCGCCAACAGCCCCCAAGGACTCCCCAAGAGGACTTAAAATCCCCAAAAGCGGTCTAACAGAGGCTTCGAATGGCGCCCTAAGAGGCAACTGCCTCCAAGAGGCTGCCCAGAGTCTTCCCTGGGGACGCGAACATACATTCAAGAGGTTTCAAACCAACAGCCCACGCACGGTGGCAGGGTGGGCTGAAGGCCACTCGGAGGTGCACGCGTGGACGAGGGGCACCGTGGCCCTCCTCTGTGTCCTCCTCCCGCTCTCCGTTGTCAAGGACTTCGCTCTTCCTGATGCTTTTTGTCCTCCCTGTCTGGCCAAGTTGGCCCCTGGACCGAAGACCACCAGGGGCATCCCGATAACACTGAGTGCCCCCTCCCCTCCCAGAGCCTCCCCGTCGGAGGTGCCTGCGGGTAGAAGGTCCACACGTTTCAGATGGCTTCGAGACTTCTACATGACTGCCCAAGATGGCCGCAAGACGGCCCAAGGGGCCCCCTAGGCGCCCCAAGATGGCTCCAAGAAAACCCCCTCGAGGGCTCCGAGCGGGACAATCCGCCCCGTTCCTTTTTATGAAAACGTAGATGTTTGTCATCTACTACGTTTTGTTGTCCCACCAGCGTCCCAGACGGCTCCAAGAGGCCTCCAAGAGCGCCCCAAGGCCTCCGAGGATGCCCCCCAAGAGGGCCCCAAGAAACCCAGGATAGCCCCAAGGCGGCGCAAGAGGCGCCCAAGACGGGCCCCAAGTGGCCCAAAAGAGGCCCCCCTGGCGCCCCCCGAGCGGCCTCCGGTCGCCCTCGGCGCCACGGTGGCCCTCGGAGCATCCCGGCGGTCCCCGAGAACCTTCCAGAGTCCCCAACGAAGCTTCCAAGACGCCCCAAAGAGGGCCCGCAATGGACGCCAAAGTGGCACTCACGTGTCCCCCGAGCGGCCCCCGTAGAGACTGAAAGATGTTTCTTTCACGCCTCAAATCGAAGACACCTCCATTCCAGAAGGTATGCAAACACTCTCCGCCCCCAATCCTCCTCATCCTCGTTTCCCTCTTCCACCCCTCCTTCTCTTTCTCTTCTCTCAGCCTTGCGCCTCCCATCCCTCAACATCCTTTGCTCTCTCTTAACTCCGCATCCTCTCTCACTCAGCCCTCCGCTCCTCGCTAATGTCCATCTTGTTCCGCCTTCTTCCTCATCCAGCCCAAACTCGTGTGTACCTTCCTCCGTTCCCTTCAGTCTCCCGCTTCCTCCTGCTCTGGCTTCCTGCCCTCCACCTCTTACATTCGTCCCCCCCACCCTCCATCCTCCTTCCCTCCCCGTCTCGGTGATCCCCCCGTCATCTCTCCTTCCTCCGCCCCGCCCCTCTCCGTCCCTTTTCTTGACATGCACCCCCCTGTCCTCCCTCAACCCTCCTCCTCCATCTTTCTTTGACGGCCCCATCCTGCCTCCGCCGTCCCTCTTCCCATTCCCTCCTCCATATTCTGCCTTCGCCTTTCCTCGCCTTCCTCCACTCTGCTCGTCCTGCCACCTCCCTTCCCCATCCTGCCTCCTGGCACCACCACCTTCATCCACACACCAGAAGTCCGAACCCGGAGCACACACGGGGCACCCATAGGGTCCCTGAGCCCCCTCCCAGCTTCCCCACAGGAGGCCTCCGGAACTTTGCAGGAGTTCCAGGGAGGACCCCACGGCGGTTCCCAGGAGGCCGCCGGGGCTGCCCCTGGAAGGTTTCCCAGCAGCAGGATGAGGCCCCAAGCAGCCGCCAGAGTGCCCACACAGGACTTCGTGCTTTCTCTTTTGTTTTTTCTGGAGTTCCCACGTGCTGCGAACGCGTGGCTCCAAGACGGCCTCGGAGGCCCAAAGGGTGCAGAAAAGAGGTGCAACGCTGCCCCACAGATGGCCCAGGACTGCCGCGAATACCAACCCTGAGTTTCTTAATAAGCGTGGGGGGGGGCCCCCCCGACGATGGTCAAACTCGCCTCGTCGTCGCGCCGCGACGGGGGGTCGGAGCGCCTTCGGCGCGCGGTGGCTGCCCGCGACGGGGGGTCGATGTGTGGCTGTCGGCGGGGGTGACGCCCCCCCGACGCTTATCAAGAAACTCGGAGAGTCCTCGATGAGACCGCAGACGCCAAGGCGTGCGCCTCCAGGCCACGGGTTCGATCATCTGGGCATGGCCTTTCGGACGCGCTATACGCTTCGTCCCCGAGCGGGGAAACATGGAGCGCACGCGAAGCGCGTGCGATGGTTCTAAGTATGAAGTCGAGCGTGTCCCCCTACAGGAGGAATAGTCGAAAACAGTAAATGCTCTGGGGGCGATGTTTCCACTTTTTCTGATGATTTCTGAAGATTGGTTTGACTATTTTCATTTTCCGCCCGAAATCAACCTGTGGGAGGACATGCCCGACCCAATTCTAGTCTCACTTTCCTCGCTCCCCCGAGGACGGCCGTGGAGTAGCCCGTCCCCTCCGCGTGAGTTTTTTTTGAGGAGGCTTTGACGTGGGTTTTCGGCCATCTTGGGCCGTCGCTGAAGTCTGTGAGGATCGTTTGGGCAACGCTGCGCCACCCTGGGGCCATTTTGGGGCCAGCGCGAGGCCCGTCACGCTTCGATCGGCACTCTTGACCGGGTCTCGTCTGCACCCTGGGGGTCGGGAGCGTTGAGGCGGGGGTCAATGCAGACGGGGTCAGCCAGAGATCCGGACTGGCGCGCAGGATCTTGCAGGAACCCGCAGGAGCCTGCAAAGCCCAGCTGGCCAGACGGGGTCAGCCAGAGATCCGGACTGGCGCGCAGGATCCTGCAGGAACCCGCAGGAGCCTGCAAAGCCCAGCTGGCCTGGGCTTGTCTTGAACCGGGTCGCCTCTTCGAGGCCTCTTGGGGGCCTCTTGAGGCTTCTTGGGGACGCCCTCGTGGGCCTCTGGGGGCCCTTGGGGCCATCTTGGGGCCAAAGGCTCGAAATGTCCGTTCGTGTCTCCCATCATGGGCCCACTCTTGGGACCAGTATTCAGTCGGGCGTGTCCCTCTACCGTTTTTTTTTTTCTTCAAAAATAGCAGAAGATAGTCAGGGGTCGATGTGTTGCGATGTTTGATTCTTCTCGACCATTTGTTCGCGAATTGTTTCGTCGCCAAGAATCTGCCTGTAGGAGAACATGCCCGACCTAAGGCCAGAAGGGCCCCTCCCCAGGCCCGTGCCCCGCTGGGGCACGGGCGGTCCCCCCCCCTCCTCGGCGCAGCGATCGCACGGCTCCGGCGCTCGTTCGTGCGGTCGCCCTGCCCCCCCCCGTTTCGGGCCGAGCGAAAGGGGGGGGACTGGGGGAAGGGGGGGGTACGAAATCTGCTGCTGCACGCAGCTGGTTTCAGCCCCGCCGCCGGGCCCATTCCTCGATACATGGGCGCCTCCGGCGCCGGGAGGCGCCAGGAAGATCACCTGCGTGAGCTGATTATCAAGCCACCCCTTTGCTATCCCCCCCTTTCGCCCGACCCGACCGTTGGCGAGGAGTACCTCGTGGGGTACAACCCGAACACGGACCGCCTGCGCCACGGCGGCGGCCGCGGCTCGAGACGTCCCTCCCTCGCCGTCGTCTCGGCGGGGGAGGGCGAAGAGGTTCGGACGCAACTCCCGGGAGGTCAAGTTCTGCCGTTGCCCTGGTCCGAAATCTGGCTTCATCCGGCTTGATCCCGCCTGATCGGGCTTCCTCCCGCTTTATCTAGTTTGATGCCGTCGAATCCGCAGCCTAATTTGGCGTAGTAGCCCCCCAATTGGGCTGATCTTTTCTTGATCCTTCCGACGAAGACCTCCCAGAAGTTGCCTCCTAGAAGAGGTGGAGGATCGGTGGCTCAAATATTCGTAGAAGGGATCAACTGCGTAAATGAAACATGTTTCGGCGCTCCACGCGCAGTTCCTGGATCGGCGTTGGGCCCCGCGCTCCGGGGGATCCAGCGCCGATGCAAGAAATCCGCGCGGAGCTTCAACAGTTTATCGAGTAGGTTCGTGTCGGCGGTATCAAGATGGCGTCCTGAGGGATCGGGTCCTAAGGACAGGAAGGGAATCAAGGGTGCGCTTACACTGTTTGAGGACCCCATGCTTCAGGACCCCATCCTCGAATCACCAAGAGGAGGTGAGGCGGAGGAGGAGTAGATTGGAGGAGGGAGGAGGGAGGCGGGGAGGAGGGGGGAGGAAGAGGCGGGGTGGAGAGGGGGAAGGCAAGAAGAGAAGGAGGGAACCGAGGAGGCAGGAGGAGGAGTCCTCATCTCCGTTCCTGGCCCCGTTGCCTGGTTGCCATCGCCAGGTGGGGCCCTGTGTGCCCGTAGTGTTCTCTGAGAGGCTGTGGCGCTCCCGGCCGCTTGACACTTTCGGATAGCGTCTGGAAGTCCCTGGGCCTACTTTGGACTCCCGGGCCTCTGCCATCGGACACTGGATGGTGGTCTCCGGCCCAGCCCCGAGCCATGCCGGCGCCGTGGACAAGAGGGCTCTTGGACGCTTCCCTGGGTCTCTCGGGGGAGGCTTCTTTGGGGCCTCATGGGCGCCTCGTGGAGTTCCGTCGGCCTCGAGGGCGCCTCGTGGGCGCCCCTTTGGGCGCCCCTTTGGGCGCCTTTGCGGGCGCCTCGTGGGCGCCTCGTGGGGCCTCGTTGGGCGCGTTGTGGGGGCTTCGTGGGGGCCTCTTCGGGGGCCTCTCGGGGGCGCTCTGGCGCTCTCGGGGGCCACCTCGGGGGCAAAGGCCTGGCATCGCTCGGGCGTGTGCACTTTGGTCGCGGCGATGGTCTTCGAGGAGCATCTCGGATCACCTTGCGAAACAAATCAACGCACGAAACCGAGCAATGCACGGGTGCCCTCGGTAGGTTCGTGTCGTGTCGACCGGCGGCGACCCCGCCGCCGGCGTTCCACGTTGAACGCCGGCGGCCCCCAGAATCAGTCGATGTTGAAGGATCCGGCGTTGCGGAAGCGGCTGATCGTTCAAGGTTGAACGATCCCCTCAGTGTCGGGAACCAACGTCCGGGTCGACACGGCACGAACTTACCGTAATGGACGTCCGAGCGATGGCAAGAAGAGCAACAGCTTGAACCGTTCTCTTCGTGTGCCCCCTCTTGGGGGCCGTCCTGTGGGCCTATGGGGCACTCTTTGGGGCCGTGTGCCTTGTCTCTGGGCGATATCGGGGGCACTCTGGGCCGTCTTGCGGCAAGACGGCCCATAGGGCCCCCAATATCGCCGAGCATGTTGTCAAGACCGAAAGTTACCACCCACCAAACCACCCCAACCCAATCCGAAGGCCTCAAGTTGCCTCCCATTCCCAGTGGGGGGGCGTATGGGCACATCGAACAAAAACACATGTGGAACCCGTACCCCCCCAAACCGAAATTCGGGTCTTCGGGTTAGGTGAAGATGGTCTGGTAGGTAGTCGGAAGGGCCGAGCATGCTAAGAGCATCCAACAATTCATTGGGTTAGATTGTTCCTCCTCTTGGGCGGGCCACCAGGGCCACCCAGATGGCCCCACAGGCCCGCGAGAAGGCTCCTGGACGAGCTCCTGCGCCCTTCTTAGGGCACGTTCGAGATGCATGTCCCGAACTAGGCTTTTGAGGCCCACTGGAAGGTCGTGCGGAACACCCCGGTATCGCGCAAGGGATCTGGCCACTGGCACATGTGGCTTAGGCCTGTCAAAGATTATGGGTAGTCAGTATAGTCAGTATGGAGTGGTCTTATGGACTTGAGGACACTCCACTCAGCGCCTAGCTGCAAGGTGGCGGATGCAGTATGCTGTTTGGCAGCATGGTAGACTCGGCAGGAGTCGAACTCCAGGAATATTACAAACGCATTTGGCACGTGCGTTGTGCATTGAAACGTTGTTCATTGTTTGCGCATCTGCTTGATTGTGTGTGTGTCTGTATGCGTGTTTGGGGCATGGAGCTGGTTTCCACGGACCTGGAGAAGATGTGCTTGCCATGGCCTCGGTCAGTTACCAATCAAGCTCGTTTGACACGTGCACGGTTTCTTCGGTCGAGATCCAAGCCGGTTCAGATGTGGGATGCTATCTTCTCGGGCCGTTGCGTGTGCCTGTTGAAATGGACACCACTTTCAGGTGTTCCCCGAGGGATTCGATTCCGTAGCCATCCGTGCTCAGAGGTGTTGCGGCAAAGTGTGTTGCGCCTCGCGGTTGCAGCAGATGCGCCGCTGCCAACAGCTGCTTACAAGGCGGTGGCACTCGTCTGTGCTGGACACCATTGGCAACACCCCGCTCATTGAATTCCCAACGCTTTCGCGCTTCACAGGCGCCACGATCTTGGCCAAGTGTGAGCACCTGAATCCTGGTGGCTCCGTAAAGGATCGCGCGGCAAAATGGATCGTCGAGGCCGCTGAAAGAGACGGAGTGCTGAGGGCTGGTGATACCATAGTCGAGGGCGGTGGTGGGAACACCGCTATCGGTCTTGCACTCGTCGCCGCTGCAAAGGGCTACAAAGCAGTAATGACAATGCCGGAGGGCACCTCTGTGGAGAAGCGCCGTGCTGTTGAGCTGTACGGAGCGGAGGTGGTGCTGGCGCCGGCGGTGCCATTTACTGACGAGCGTCATTATTTTCATGCTGCGGTTCGGATCGCCAGGGAACGAGAACGACATACCTTTACAAATCAGTTTGAGAACCTTGCCAACAGTCAAGCTCACTATGAGTCTACTGCACCCGAGCTCTGGGAGGAGACAGCGGGAACGATCGATGGCTTTATCTGCTCTTGCGGCACTGGCGGGAGCATTAGTGGAGTGGCCTCCAGGTTGAAGGAACTAAATCCGAATGTGCAGTGCTGGATAATCGATCCCCCTGCCTCTGGTCTTTTGCCTCTAATTCAGCAAGGTCAGTCCTACGAGATCACTGCGACATCCCCGTCAAGCGGTCTCACGCGGTTCCCGACCGATGATGTCGTTCGTACCATCGCTCGCTCCGCTGGCACCGCTCCCGCATTCGAGGGGATAGGCATCGATCGAGTCACTGGGAACTTTGCCCGCGCCTTCGATGCTGGACTTATCGACGGGGCACTCGGTGGTAACAGCCGAGAGGCGGTCGAGATGGCCTATTATTTGAAGCACGTTGAGGGTGTGGCCCTCGGTGCCTCCGCTGCGCTTAATGTTGTCGGCGCCGTGAAGCTTGCCAAACGACTGGGGCCCGGGAGCGTCGTGGCTACCCTGCTCTGTGACGGGGCCGAGAGATATGCGTCGAAGTTGTTGGCAAGAGAGTGGCTGGAGGCGAACGATCTCGTGCCTACATCGGGAGCTGGCCCCGAGCATTTCTTAGATGTTTGACAGGGCGGGATACCTGCTTGTTGCTTGTGGACGGCCAGCAGTCGGCAACAACATCGAAGGAGGAGCATTGGACTGCTGGGGATTGCTGGGAACTGCTGAGGGCTTCTGGGGTGTTTCCAACGGTTACCTTTGGGGTGAAGGGTTTTACCACGGGCTACGGGTCGTCGAGCCTCGTGTCTCAGGGCCTGCTTCCAGATCTTCGATCCTCGAATCTCTTCCTGGACCCCTCGATCCTCGACTCTTGACCTCGATCTCCGAACCTCGCTTCTCGATCCTCGGTCCCTCGCCTTCGTTGCGGATGCTCAGACTTTCTCTTTGCTCCTCGATCCCGGCCTCTCGCTCCTCGACCTCCTGGTCCATCGCTCCTCGAATCTCGCTCCTCGACGCCTCGATCATCGGACCAGCGATCCTCGATCCCTGATGCTTCTCCTCCAGCGGCGTCTGTGGGTCCCGACTTCTTGGTTCCCCCGCGGGTTTGACCTCCTCGGGAATGTCCTCCCTGGCGGCTGGGCTGTTCTGGGGCCGCCGCTCGCAAATCGGCCAGCTACTCCCCTCCTCCCTCCTACCTCCTCATCCGTCCGCCTTCTCTCGTCCCTCTTCCATTATCCTCTCCCATATTCCCTCATCTTCTCTGCTCGTTCATCCATCCTCCACACCATCTCTCCCTTCTCATCTTCCTCGTCTCTTGTCCTCCCTCCTTGCATCATCTCGCATCCCCTTCAATTCGACTTCTCCTCATCGTCATCTGGCGCCAAGGGTAGTTATGCTCTGTTATCTCTCCTCTCTCTCTCTCTCTCTTTCTCTCTCCTCTTGCCCTCATCCTCGTTCGTCCCCCTCATCCCTATTCGCTCTTCTTTATCATCCCCATACGTCCTCCCCCTTCCTTCTCCTCATCCCTTTTTATCTCTCGTCCTCGTCCCTCCGAGTCTTGTGTGCCTGTTCATCGGCAAACTGGACATCCGCCTCGAGCCGTCAAAACTCCGGAAACAACTCTCGTCGACACTATGATTCAATGTTGTTTGCAAATTCTGATAACGCTCAAACTCTGATTAAACGTTGGCCTCAAGACTTGAACAAATCTGATTTCGTTTCGAGGAGTTTTCCGGGGTCGAGTGTTGTTCTGAGTTTCTGGAGTTCCCGAGCGGCTTCTGGAAGTTTTCGCCGAGAGTTGTTTCGGAGTTTCCGGATTTCTTCGGAGTTTGACAGAAGTTTTGTTTGGAGAATGTGTTCGGGATGCATGTTTTCCAGGGAGATGATATGTTTGTGTGATTTGTTTTGCTAAGTTTTGAATTTCCGGAGATGTTCTTGATAGTTGGTTTGTGCTTTATCCGAGTTCTGGGGTTTCCCCAGAGTTTTCCGTGAGTTGTTTGAACAGTGTTTCCAATCGTTTCCGTATTCCCAGGAGTTGAGTTTGCCAGCAGTTTTTTATGTCTCCTAGTTTTGAGGTTTCCCGGGAGTTTTATTTCAACGTGTTTGTGTAAGTTATCCCATGCTCAGGTTTCCCTGGAGGTTTTGGGAGTTTCGGGATTTCCTTGGAGTTTCCCTGGAGTTTCTCTTCTGAGTTTCTGGATTTCCCGTGAGTTTTCCAGGAGTTGTTCTTGCATGGTTTCGGAGTTTCTGGATTTCCCGGGAGTTTCCCAGATTTGTTGTGAGTTTCGGTGTTGCCCGGGAGTTTTCCGGCAGTTAACCCCGGAAGTTGTTTCGGAGTTTCTTTGAGTTCCCGGAGTCGCTTCAGAGTATCCAGTCAGAGTTGAGACAGAGATTGCGTCAGTCATTAGAATTTCCATCTTTGATGTCTCAATCTTAATCCATCCTACTCCCTCCCTCTCCCCCCGAGTGCTTCTCAGCCTATTTCTTTTCCGTCCTATGTCAAGACTCCTTAGACCTCTCCTGAAAATTATGAGAGCCATTGGACGTCTCAGCACTCCCAGATCACTCTCCTGACCCTCTTAGGTTCTTCGAATTCCGCATTCCTCTTTATTCTCCATCCTGCCTCCTCACCTTTCTCGCTCCTCTATGTTTTCGTCTGTCCTCCTCGCTTCTCCTCTCCTCTCCCTGCTTACTCCTCGTCCCTCCCTCCTCCCTCCCCCTCACCCCTGCCCTGCTCGTCGCCTCTCTGTTCCTCACTTGTCCCCGCCTGCCCAGCTTCCCCCCTTCCTCCTCTCTCCTCATCCCCCCTCCGCATCCCTCATCCGCCATCCCGCGATGCCGACAGCGACGACGACGGCGACGGTGACGACGAAGACTGCGTCGGCGACGGCGACGGTGACAACAGGGGCGACGGCCACGACGGCGACGGCTGCCGGCGACGGCAGCGACGAACCCCGGAGGACGTCGGGGCCGGCTACATCGCAGAGCAGTTGCCGCAGGGCGCAGCGCTCGCGCAGGTGGCGCCCCTCAAGTTCGACGACGAAGCGCTGTCAAAGGTCGCCTGCTCGCTGCGTCGGCGGCGGCCGCCGCCGTCGTCGCAGCCGTGGCCGTCTCCTGCGCCGCCGACGTCGCTGTCGCTAACCGTCGTCGGGGTCGTCGGCGGCGTCGGCATCTACGCCGCTCCCTCCCCCGCCGCCGCCTCCGTGACGTGACGTGTCGTCGTCGGTCGTCGTTGGTCGTCGGCGATCGCCGTCGTCGTCGCCGACTCGTCGCCGTCTTTGGGGTTGTCGTCGTCGTCTTCGCCGTCGCAGGTTGAGGAGATCCGGGGTATTCAACATAAATGCCGGTCAACTGCAGTGTGAACAATAGACGTGCGCTGCAACAACGGACGGAGCTCATTGAAACCATGATCGACCAGCAAGGTATCACAACGCGGCGGAGACGCCAGAATCATAGTGTAGTTTATTGTGTGATCACTATATGTGTCAGGTCAGGCCACCTTTGTGTCACCTTCGAGTCGCATCACAAGTTCGCCGCAACGCTGCACTTGGTTACATGCCATAGGGAATGCATTCACATCATTTTGGGAATTGTTTGCTCTTTCGGGTCGCGACGATCTCCTTGGCACGGCCGCCTGGTCGCGCAGATACAGCCTCGTGTCCCTCTGCGTCCCTCTGCTTTCTCTTTCTCTCTCTCTCACTCTCTCTCCCTGCACATGCACGCTTCGCATCCCCCGACTGTGCTCGGCCCAGCGTTGACACGAGCGCCAGGATCCGCAGGCGCGTGGATGGCCACAGGGGATATTTCTGTCCCCGACCCTCGCGCCGCTTCCTCTCCTTCCTCTTTCGAGTGGAGGATCGACTACAACATGGAATTCTCCAGAGTTTAGTTGTTCGCCGAAACTACTGAGAACATGGACGCGTAAGGTTCGCACACCTACGAACATGGCACGTCTTTTCTCGGCAGAGTCGACGGAAATGCCAATTTCGGGGTGAATCGATCCTGCATTCGATCCCCTGCTCGCCTCTTCCGCCCTCTCGCCTCAGCGCGAGGAAGTCCGCGCGGCAGCTCCAGGAGCGGACCCCGCGGCCGGACGCCTCGGATTCCTCGGGCTGGCCCTCTCTCGCCGTTGCAGCGGCGAGAGGCGTCTGCGGCGTACTCCTTTCGAGGGGCCGCCGCCAGCGTGGCGGCGTGACACGCTTGAGAACCCTCCCCCCCAGGCTCGTGCTGGCGTTGATTCAGGAGATGTGCCCCGACTCCTTTTCGGGACTGGGAGGAGGCGGCCAACAGCGTCGTCTTAGGGGAGGCTGCCGGTGTGGGGCTGGCGAGCTTCAGGATGCTAATCGGGGCTTTGTATGCACCCGGGTGCTGAACCTGTTCCTTATCCGCTTGAGCTTCTGTGCCTATCAGTTTACTGTAGTTCGGTGCTCGCGTTGGTTCCAGGGGATGTGTCTCAATTTCCTTACACGGGACTGGGAGGAGGTGTTCAGGTGGGCGGCGGAGTCTTCTCCACAGTGGCTGGCCGCCCTCTTCACCAGCCGCCAGCGTGGCGGCGGCCTGCGGCTTGGCATCGCTCGGACGTGTGCACTTGCTGTTGCTGGCGACGACCATCGAGGGGCATCCTGGGTCATCTTGCGAAAGTTACACGCGCGAAGCCGAAACATGCACGGGCCATGGGCGTCCGAGCGATGGCAAGGCGGCAAGAGGCCATGGGATCCTTGTATGCCCTCGACTACCAGTCCTTCGAGTGGATTGGCGTGCGCCAGCGTCTAGTAGTCGACGACAGGTCGCATATTTTGCGCCGGTGAGCATCGAGCTTGCGTCAACTATCGTCGATGAGCGTCGGTCAGAGTTGAGTCGCAAGAGTGGGCATGATGGCACAGGAGGCTCCCATGAGTTAGGGGAACGAACAATGGCGTAAACCTGAAAACTGGGAGGTCCGCGCGGACCTCCCAGTTTTTATGTTTATGCCAGTGTTCGTTCCCCTCCATGAGTTGCCACAGAAGCGGTCGTCGTCGTTGCCGCCGTCGCGGCCATCCCAGTCGGCGTCGACGGTCGCCATGGCGGTCGCTACTCCAGATTTCGTAATAAAAGGGAGGGGGTCTGGACCCTCCAAGACAAGCCATTTCAGGCCCCCCCCCGTGGGAGAACCCTCCAAAACATCGTCCCCAGACCCCCCCCAGGCCCTCCAAGATAGCCTGGAAGAACCCCCCCCCCGACATGAGACCCCCCTCCCTTCTATTACGAAATCTGGAGTATGTACCACGGTCGTCGGCACTGGCGCCGTGGGTCGCCGTGGTTGCCGTCGGCGGCGGCTGCGGCCTCGGCCGCTGCCGTTGCCTCGGCATCTCTCTCGGGCGTGTGCCCTCTCTCTCGGCGGGGACCCTCGAGGAGCATTTTTGGGGCCATCTTGCGAAAGACGACGCGCACGAAACCGACAGAACTTTTTTGTTTTGATTCGCGGCCCGCAAGGAAAAGTCCAGAGGGCGGTAAGACAACCAACAGAGCGCGCAGCACGGGGAACGGACGTCCGAGCGGTGGCAAGGGCCGCCGCCGTTGCCGCGCCCCGCGCCCCGCGCGCGCGCGCGCAGCTCCGCTTCGGCCTCCGCCGCTGAGCCGCCCGTGGCCCCCGAGCACAGGGCGCGCAGAGGGGCGCTGTGGCGCGCCGATCGGGCGCGCCGTCCCGCCGGCCAGCTGGCCAGAAGAGCCCCCCGCCCTCGGCTTCGGAGGAGGAACGTGTATCGAGGATCCGGCCGTGGTGTACGAACCGAGACCGGTCAACACGGTCGGATTCTCCTGGAATCAGCGTCGGGAGCGGAAAAGAGGGGGGTG